GGACCCAATACGCCGAAGATCGGTGAACTTCTTAAGACGACATGTAACGAAGACGAGGATGATGAAAGCCTCGAAGCCACAGAGGTGGAGGTAGGTTCGTGTGTACGGAACATGAAAATGGTTACGGTTTTTGTTTAGCTTGACGAAGAAGGCTCCTCTGATCGACGTATTCGACGGTTGTCGAAGAAGACGTTGAGAACGTGGCGAAATAGACGTGCATCGGCTGCAATGATGATGATAACAGGCCGAGGCAAACGACAAGATGCCAGCAGTCTTGCTGACCTTGGCATTTGCTTTGGTGATATCCTACCAGCTGTTCGGGAAAAATACCCGAATCAGAAGATCGCAATAGTGATCCGAACAATACGCGCACCTTCCCTACTTTTCAGTCAAGCACGTGGAGGTCGGTTTGTTTGAGTTTTTCTGGAAATCGAACTGGCATAAGGCTGAAACTGACCCGGAAGTCTTCAGTTTTGATTTCCGGGATATTCTCATTTATTTCAGCTTTATTGGCAGTTAAAACATTGATAGAAAGCATCTTTGCCTTTTTTGTAACTCCTGGTTATCATTTTAGGTATGGTGACGTTAGATTTGCTTGCTGATGCCGATATCTACATCGATGGAACCAATAATAAAGTAAGGATTGTTTTGTCCCGAACTAAGTGCCATATTTGCTCACATTCAAAGACATGGCTCATACTGATTCAGTCAACGGTTCCACTGAAATTACGACAGGGTGCCAGCTGTTCGACCGGTAGAGCCACTGACAGCGAGTAATTGCAACAAAAACTTGTCAGATTAAGAGGAAGGAGTATGGTTCAGTTACATGAACTATGAGTTACTCAAATGGAACAAACTAGTAAACGTTCCAGATTTGGTACAAGAAGGGATTATCCAAAAGCTCCCTAGCTATATATACCCATAAAAGGCACTCGACCCGATCTTCGGTGCAGTGCTTCCTTGGGGGGAGATGAATCCCGATATCGGTAGCACCCGGTGCTCCCCATGGATTT